AAGCCTGCTTTTGAAACCCAAATGCCAAAACAAATGTCAATGATAAATTTTGTGAGTTCCCCTGCGCCATCTCGTCCCCCCCCCAGGAAGCAAATCCGTGCTTTGGAGGAGGTTTGGGGGGACCAGGTGTGTTACAGGTATTCGATGTGAGCCCCATGCGTGATGTTCCCCCCAAAACCCAGGTGCTAATGAGGTGTGCAGCAAATGAGGAGGCCATTGGGGGAATTTGGGAGGATGGATGCTGAGGGGACAGGCTCCAGCTCTCCCTCCTCAGGGCACTTGGTGCAAGCAGCAGTTAGCATAAGCGAGCGGTGACTAATCCTGGTCCCCCCCGCCCCCCCCCAAATAGATAAGGGGCAGAGCAGCTGCTCCCATGTGATTTCAGTTTCCCTAATCAGTGCCAAAGAAGATAAGGGAAGACAAGGAAAATGTCCTTGGGAAGACAGGGGGAGGGATGCAGCACCTGCAGAAGGAAAAGCCACCAAGGAAGTAAACAGAGGCATCGTCAGCCCCAAACAACGACCTGCCAGGGCTATAAAAAGCCACCGGGATGAGACCTCGCGACCACCTTGATCTTAAAGGTGCCGAATCCACGGGAGCTCTGCAGCGACCATCTCCAGGTCCCCGCACTGCCAGGACATCCAACCAAGGATTGGTGAGATCTTATTATTGGGGTCCTACTACGCCTCTGCTTCGCTTTGCCCGTTCCCGCACCCCTTCCCCATCCCTGCACCCCTTCCCTGTCCCCTCCCCGGGAGCTGGTGGGCCGCAGTCACTCATCCCCGCCTTCCCTTTCGCTTGCTACCAGGTTTGGCATCCCCTGGGGGGTGTTTTGGAGGGACAGGTTGCGGGGTTGCAGCCTTTCTCTGCGGGTGGGTTGGCGGTGCTGGTGTTAAGGTAGCTTTGCCCTGAGACGAAACCATCTCAGAACTCATCTCCACCTTCCCCTTTGCTTGCTACCAGGTTCAGCATCCTCCCGGAGGGTTTTTTTGGAGGGGCGGGTCACGAGGTTGCAGCCTTCTTCTGCGGGTGGGTTGGTGGTGCTGGTGTTATGGTAGCTCTGCCCTGAGACAAAGCCGTCTCCTATTTTGTCGCCTTCACTATGATGACCGATATTGTTAGTAACTGGAAGCTGGAGCAATTTGTGCTCCAGAAGTGTCTTCCCCCAGTTTGGTCCCCAGGGGCCTTCCAGGGCCCGGAGGCATACCAACAGCTGTGCCAGCAGTGGGAGAGCTGGTCGGAGGAGACCAAAAAGCCCAAACCCACAAACAAGTGCAAGAAGCGAGCTGCTTTACAGGGTTTGTTGATGGTGGGCAGGGAGTTGTCCAAATTGCTGAAGGAGGCTCTTGAGAACGTGCAGACGTTGGAGCAGGCCAAGAGCGAGCTCAAAATGCAGGTGGACAACCTGCGGGCAGAGGTGCAGGGTTTGTGCGGGGACTCTCTGCGGAGCGCGGTAGAGATCACCCGGCTGGAGAGCAAGTTGGGCTATGAGAAACTGAAAACGGAGGAGCTAGAGAAGGAGGTTGGCAAGTGGATCGGGGAGACCCACGATGCGCAGAGCGCGGTGCGGGCTGTCCTGCAGGACGTCCAGCGGGACCGGGGCTCTGGCCCCGATCACAAGGTGTGCCACGCTAAGATCCAGGAGCTGCAGGCAGAGCTGGGGGTGTCGAGGGGCATCGTGGCTGCCATCCAAGGCAAGAGGAGCCGGTTTGGGAATGGTGAGGGGGAGGACTCCCTGGACCCACATCCTCCCCACTACGACTATGAGGATGACGTGTGGGGTGCCAACAGCCCCACCAGGCCATCCCCCTATGCTCCTCTGCGGGAGGAGATGTGCCAGCTGCAAGGAGGGGAGGTGGAGGCTACTAAAATCAAA